TCTGATTTTACCTCATAAGGTCCTCTGCTGACAAACTCAGTCCTCGCTGTGTCAGAATGATGTCAGCAGGATTAGTAGTAGGAGTAGTTTATTTTTTCCTGTAATACTTCATTATAGTTTTTTAAGACAAAGCTAATTGAAAGGGGCGCTGAGCAGAGTTACAACCAGGGATTACAAATAATAATTTTTTCTTCTGCTGTTCGGTGACCCCTCCAACAGATGGCGCTCTAGGTGACCGCCTAGTTCACCTATGCCAAGAGCCAGCTCTGAGTTGTGCTACTAACATCAAAGTCCAGTTTGGAGCTCCCTTTGGTTGAGGAGGATCTGAAGTGTCAGTGCAGCCTCTGTGGGACCTCAGAAGACCTGTCTGTGTTTACATCAGAAGTGAGGGAGCTCTCTGATTGGCTGCTGGATAATAAAGCAGGGTGATGACAAGAGAAAACCAATTATCTTCCTGAAGCACGTTTAACTGAAAAATGACTCAGTCAGGAAAAACCAGATGTGTGATAAAACACACACAGCAAACAGCATGAGTCTGACCTTTGACCCCAGTAATGACAGAGTTCATTTTATCAGAGTTTTATCATTAATATCCTCATTATTACAACAAATCATCTGAAACCAGAAAGAGTTTTATCTCTTCATTAAAACAAAGAATGGAGAAAAAGATGACGAGGAGGATTAAAGAGACCTGTTTCTTTATGACCTCTGACCTCAGTGACTCTGGACCGGACACCTGTACCCAGTCTGAATCTGACACCTGGACACATCGACACAAGGTTACACATCAGTGATGACAGGAAAATTATCAAACTTTCTCATTACCTTTAAAAACATTAGTGAACCTTCTGCTAGATTGAACCATTTAGCTTCTGCTAAATTAAGTTTTGCAAACTTCAAATCCACAAAAAGCTAACAAGAGAACCAATTTTTAGTTTAGCGATTTAGATTTTACACTAATTTAGTGGAGCAATTATCTTCTGCTAAATTAGTTTTTCTAACTTTAAGTCTTCTAACTGCTAACTAACCTGACTGAGTGACAGTCATCTTAGCAGTTAGCGATTAGCTTCCACTATTTTTTTATTTATTTAGCTGTTTGCTCCAATTAAGTTTTATTCATTCATTTTATTTTTAGCAGTTTAGCGTTAGCAAAGGTAACTTTTGAGTGAGCTTTAGTGAYCACTGTACCACAGTTCACAATAAAATCTATCCGTGGCTTGTGTTGACAGTAAAACAGGGTCAAAGTGATCCTCCACCAGCTTATCATGATCTATTTTGGTTCAAAAAAGGAACCAGTAATGTCAAAGCCTCGCTCATCTGGTACCTCTGTTTCAGCATGTCTGATTCAAAAACAAGAATACTGTATACCAAGGACCACGAGAAGTCTTTCTAGTGCCAGTCAACTGTCTTTTTTAACCACTTCAGTAGAAATCAGTACTAAATATCTGAATATTAGTATTTTAGCTTCTTCATCATCAGTGGCTTTTTTTTTAAAGATAGACAAAAAAGAAGAAGAAATAAAGGAAAAAAGAAGGAAAGAAAAGTTACAATGTAATGGAAAAAAGTGAAAGAAAGAATTGATGATATGTGAGATATACGTCAAGAAAACAATACAATCCATCCAACATCTGTCTGCACACCTGCAAAGAATTAAGGTTATAAAACTTAGCAAAAGCGTACATATATACATTTAGACAGATAAACAAACACCCACCTGTATATACCTGGTGATCATTCAGAACTCCTCGGATCTGAACACCTGTCTGTGTGCGGTTGTGAACAAGCTTAAATTTACAGGATTTCTCCAACAGAATGTATAATAGTGACTGTGGGGGAGTCCCAGAGCCGACCCCCAAGGCACGAGGCAGACATAAGGGGAGGCCAGAGCCAAGGACCCCAGGAGGAACCCCAAGCACCGGGCCCCCAGGTACACCTACGCGAGGAGAGCTGCACACCCACCCCCAGGTCAAACCATAGGGGAGACCCAGGAGAACCCCACCAGCGACCACACGCAGCAGCCCCACAGCGGCCCGCAGCGACGAGCACGCAGGTCCCTGCCGGCACCCGCTGCGCTTGGGCAAGCACGGGCATGGGCACAGAGAGCCCGGCCCCCAGGGCGCCCACCACCCAAGTCGAGAGCCGACAGGGCCAGAGGACCCAAGCCCCGACAGGCAGCCACCAGGCCCAGCCAGCACACACCCGAGCACCCAGCCCCAGACCCCAAGAGCCATCCGTGCGCCGGCGGGCAAGGCACCCCCACCAGAGGGCGGTATGGGGTGGGGGCGACAAACGAACCAGGGGAGGGGGGAAGTCCACGTCCCAGCCTGACACATACCCACGCATACACAAACACAATCATACAATCCCACCATCATCCTCACACCCACTCATTCAAAGACACACAATATAGACACCACACTCCATTCACACTCCCGATACACACTCTATACACCCCAGGACCAGGGTATGCCCCTGCCCCCCACAGAGGGCAGCCCACACCCGAACCCAGGAGGTAAACCCATTTGTCCTGGGGTGCAGAGGAGCAGACGGCCAAGCACCGGCCTGGACCGCGGTGACCCGACCGGCCGCCCCCGCAAGGCCACGCCCCAACTATCCCCCAACCACCGCCAACGGCCAGGGGTACACCCCCAGCCGACACCCACTGGAACCCAGCAACCACCCCGGCCAGCGGGCCGACCACGCCAACCAGGAGCCACATCTCAGGAGTCCACGCAGCTCCAGAGAAGCCAGAGTGCAAGCCCGACCC